ATCATTCTTCAACATACTGATTCAGTAAGTCTGAATTGAAGCATGGGAATTTATATTTTCAGAAAGTTCCTAATGATGTAATGATATCCTGTAATGGGAAAAATGTGCCCAGGATAAGTTGACAAATTTTCCTGTATGTTTAACAGATTAGTTATTTTTCAACTGTATTCAACCTTAATAATGGTTCTCTTCTATTTTTTCAAGTTGAGTACATCATTCCTACTAAAACAAAATTATCTTAATAGATCACTCATAACAGTATACACTTAGATATCATTATTCTTTAATTCATAAAAGCTAATATATATCTTCATGTGAATAAAGTATGCAGTAGCAGGAAGTTTGTGGAGGTAAAGAATACCATTTTGCTCTAAAGTCAGTTACTACAATGAAGAAGGAATTGAAAAAATAATGTTAACAGTTAAACAATACACAAAAACGAAGTGAATATATATCAAATATTTTATTGAATTCAATTAAGAAAGGAAGGTGTAGGGTAATAAAACAGAGCCTAAAAACTTTTGAGAAATTTTTTAGACAATGTTAGGATCAGCCCACCAGGCTAACTACAAGGCTGAGTAATGTCTAGCAGTACCATAAAACAGCTCTTTGGACTATATTTCCAATTAAATAGAAATTATTTGCATGTCAAAAAATCTTTTTGCCCTAGCCAGTTTGGCTCAGTAGATAGGGCGTCGGCCTGCGGATGGGTCCCAGGTTTGATTTTGGTCAAGAGCATGTACCTTGATTGCGGGCACATCCCCAGTGCGGGGTGTGCAGGAGGCAGTTGATTGATGTTTCTCTCTCATCGATGTTTCTAACTCTCTATCCCTCTCCCTTCCTCTCTGTAAAAAATCAATAAAATGTATTTTAAAAAATATCTACTTTTCACCAAAATTATACAGTTTAACATGTAACCTAACTCTAGGACACTTAAGCAATAATAAAAATAAATGTAATTTGAGTTAAATATACTCCCTTAGATAACCTTTTACCCTAACATGACCTTAAAGGGATAGGTTATCCACTTTTTGCCTTATTTTCAAATTTTAGGTATTTTCCTCTGAAGGTGTAGTATTCATAAGTGAGAGTTTTAAAAGTGATATTTTCATTTGGAATACAGAATTAGAAAGTACCACTGAAATAAAATATCCTCAATTTACTAACAGACCACCTGACTTTGGGAGCTGACAAAAAAATTTTTTTTAATATATTTTATTGATTTTTTACAGAGAGGAAGGGAGAGGGATAGAGAGCTAGAAACATCGATGAGAGAGAAACATCGATCAGCTGCCTCCTGCACACCCCCTACTGGGTATGTGCCCGCAACCAAGGCTCATGCCCGCAACTGGAATCGAACCTGGGACCCTTGAGTCCGCAGGCCGATGCTCTACCCACTGAGCCAAACCAGTTAGGGCGGGAGCTGACAAAATTAATGGAAGTTTTCAGTGACATCTGTAAGACGGGTTTGACTTTACACAGAGATCGCTTAAATCAACTTATACGGAAGCATCTCATGAAACCTAGACATTTTCCCAAAATGGAGTCAGATCACAATAATATAAACCAATATGTCAAAAGAGTATAGCAAACACAGCTGTAAGATCATCTTCCCTCTATTCTTGCTAGCACGACATACCAACAGACACGCAGTTCATTCAGCCTCATTAAGTAATTATTGATCTTTATAATAAAATCCATAATCTAATTGGAGAACCCCTTCTGAAAAGTCTATTAGTGTAGTGGCTTTTTGATGTTCCATTTCTGTACAGTATTATTATACTGTAGAAATTGATAAACTAATTTTGTCTGAAAGGTTTACTGACACTGAACTTCAATTTCCGACTTATTCAAGATCAGAATTAAAATTACACACTAGCTTTATGTGAATAATCCAATAATGTAAAAATGACTGACAAGGAATGAATACAAACAAATTGGAGAATAATTTCTTAGAGAAATATATTTCCTAAAAACATTCCTAAAATTATACCACCGAGTTTTTTTGTTCTTCCCAAATAACTTAGATATGAGATTAGTCATCAGCAGCCAATATTTTAAATTCACATGAATTTTATTCATTCAGCAAATTGTAAGGCTATTTTCATAATCAACAGTTGTTATAATAGGATTTTGCATATTTTTCTTTTCTGTGTAACTTACTCTAAGATACTAAATTTATGAATCCTTAATTCTGTTATTTATTGTTGGCTCTAAACTTTAGCTGACTAAATATAAAATAAGCATCAATCCAGGAACTTGCCATCAAGATTTTTTTTTGTTTGTTTGTTTTTATCTACTACAGTTTCTTATATTACCACGACAGGTTATATGCTGTGCCTTTTCAATTTATTTTCAATAACTCAACACTATGTTAAAAATATTTACATTACCTCTTACATCAGTGATTTATTAAATTGAACCTTTAAATACCACTACAAATTATCCTTCATATTTCTCCTTTACATATTTCTTCTTTGAAATACCCCATCATCTATAAAAGCACTTAACTTTATGTCTTGTGTCAGGAAAATCAATGCTAGAGAAAAAATGGATGCTCATTTGAGGATTTATCTTATTGGTTGGTCCATTTCCAGATAGAATGCAAAAGATACTGAAAATATTTCACAAGACTTCTATAGGAGTTATCCTTTTTAAGAAGAGTAAATCTAAGTATGGAGCATATTTTTCCTTATGAAAATGTCAAAGTTAAATATTGGAACATCTTGCAAACTTATTATGTTAAAACTTACAACATTACATATTTTTATTCTGGATTTCCTTAACAAACCATTCACCTCTCCCATAGTGAGAAATCTCTATGGTTCTGTATATATTTGTAATCTTTTGTTAGATATATATTAATATAAATTTAATATCTAATAATTACATTCCCAACTTGTTGAATGAAAGGTGAATTTATTAAACAAAAGTAGTATGTAGAAAGTTTTGAACATACTTTAAATATGGGTTTCAGTTGTATTTATGTTCTCTACAAAGAAAGTTATGTACATTACTACTTAGTGCCTGGAGAAGCCTCAAAGTGAAATAATTTGCAATGGTAAGTTTGAACAAGGCTACATACACTTTAGAGTAATTACACATGACTTTACCTTTTTCTTGACATAAACTATTAATATGGTTGTCTCTGCTAGAGTTTTTGGCTAAAATACTCCTAGGCAAATAGACATCAGCCAAAATGTCAGAGTAGGGGCCTCTAAAAGTTTGCCCTTCCAGGAAAGCAATGAAAAAACTGAAAGAAATTGTGAGAATCCATATTTCATAACTGGAAATTAACCAAACATTTGCAGAAACCAATTTAGTCAATAAAAATGGTTGAATCTTGATAGAACAGTGAGTTTTGTGACAATTTCACCTACTGGAGTCCTGTCCCTGACATTTTAATAAATTTTCTTCTTCAAGTACAAAATAACTAGAACTGAATCCTATAGTAAAATTTGTCAAGAAAGCAGGTCATGCAAGTTCTCTTACATGTTTTAACACAAAAATTCCAGAGCACAGCTTTAATGATTTGTTTACTAATGTGTGGTCCCTATTTTAATGAATGGATACTTATATCACTACCTCTCTGTTCTTTAATTAAATCCAATTTTAATTATCTTCACTGATTATTCTTTTAAAAAATATTTTTATTGATTTCAGAGAGGAAGGGAAAGAGGGAGAGAAATAGAAACATCAATGGTGAGAGAGAATCATTGATTGGCTGCCTCCTGCACATCGCACACTGGGGATCAAGCCTGCAACCTGGGCATGTGTCTTGACCAGGAATCGAACCATGACCTCCTGGTTCGTAGGTCAACGCTCAACCACAGAGCCACGCCAGCCAGGCTTTTTAAAATCCTCACCCCAGGACATGCTGGGGATTGAACCCTCAACCCAAGCATGTGTTCTGACCAGGAATCAAATTGATAACATTTTGGTCCATGGGACGACACTCAAAATGTAATTCATACATCTACTTCAAAAATAATTTTGGAATACAATAGTTTGCTTCCAGTCCCTAAAGAAAATAGCTACATGGCATTTAGTTTTTGTCCTGTTTTATATTTGAAAGTGAAAAATGCAAGTAAGTAGGAGAATTGAAAACTTCTAAGATCCTGCAGAAGAGTAGCCTGAAATTTGTCATAGACTTTGCTGTCTTCAACAAACAGTGGTTCTCTGATCTGGTACTCAGTAGAATTACTTGCATACCTTATAAACCATTAACATGTCTTTCTTATCTGAATTTATAGTGAAAATATATCATGACAAACCACAATAATCAGAAAAAGACTGATTTTAGTGCTTAGCAGACCTGATAGTAGCTACTAAAACTAGTATCATGGTAAGACAACTATAGGTATATCAGCTTAACTCTAAGTCTCTGAGACTATCAGACAAAGATGAGGAAATAGCATCATTTTTCTGCTTCTGGGTTTTAATGATGGAATGGGGAGAAGGGACTTTCATTTTCTTAATAGTAAAAAAAAATAGCAAAATTCTCGGATAAGTTCAACATAATTCCTTACCTTTGATATTTTTTTAAAAACTATTTTCAGAATTGAGGAGCTTTATGAGAATTTTAACTACTTTATAATAATATGAATGGTGCAGTAATAAGACCCTTGCCATTTGTCAAAGGTTAGTCTTCTAGACACCCTAGAAAATCACCTATAAATATTAGAAATAATAAGTTTTGTTGAGATAAAACCAATCTTATCAACAAAATAAATCAATGGTTAAGAATATGTGAATCACATACTCTTTCAATCTTCTAATCTTTATCTTTTTCTTTTAAACATATTAAATAACTAACTCAGTTTTTTGAAAAATATGTTTTTATTGATTTCAGAAAGGAAGGAAGGGGAAGAGAGAGATAGAAACATCAATGATGAGAGAATCATGGATCAGCTGGGGATGGAGCCTGCAACCCGAGCACATGCCCTGACTGGGAATTGAAAGACCATCTCCTGGTTCATTGTTCAACACCCAACCCCCAAGCCACACCAGTCAGGCTAGTCCTTATCCTTTTCTTTTTTCTAAAAAGTTATGTTGAGTTTCAACAAAAAAGGCACAATAACATTACTAGTTTATCGTTTGAATAACTTCAGCTGAAATAGGTCTTTTTTCTCCTGCAAAATCCAAAATCTGCCATCATCAAGGAATCGAGCAACAAACATGAGATTTCCTATGTCCCAGTGCCAACGTGAGCAGGTGCCTGTGATAAAAAAAAACAAAAAAATAAAAGGTCTGAGAGAAAGCATCATATCAGCTACCACTGTCCCTCAGAGAAGTAAGTTTCAGAAGGAAAATATTCTGCCTGTGTATGCTCATGTTCTTCTTACCTTGTGTAAGTAGTTAGGAAGCAGTAGCAAGAGCTTCAAGAATGAGCTCTTTCTGTTTAAAAATCATATTCAAAGAAAATTCTAGCATTCATCTTAGATGAATGCTAGAATTCATCCTAGTGCTCCAGACAGCATGAAAGGAAGGTGACCCTGTCTTTCAGTGTTCACTCACTAGGCCTCATCATTTCCCAAATGATCCTACTACTATATAATACTACTAGAATAATAATATATTGCTTTTTTCCCCCTAAAAGATCTTTTTTTTAATTAAACCTTTATTGTTCAGATTATTACAGTTGTTCCTCTTTTTCCCCCTCATAGCTCCCCTCTACCTGGTTCCCACCCCACCCTCTGCCCTTACCCACCCCCCACTGTTCTCGTCCATAGGTGTACGATTTTTGTCCAGCCTCTTCCCTCACACTCCACACCGCTTTCCTCTCGAGAATTGCCAGTCCACTCCCTTTCTATGCCCCTGATTCTATTCTATTCACCAGTTTATTCTGTTCATCAGATTTTTTATTCACTTGATTTTTAGATTCACTTGTTGATAGATATGTATTTTTTGTTCATAATTTTTATCTTTACCTTTTTCTTCTTCCTCCTCTTCTTAAAGAATACCCTTCAGCATTTCATATAATACTGGTTTGGTGGTGATGAATTCTTTTAGCTTTTTCTTATCTGTGAAGCTCTTTATCTGACCCTCAATTCTGAATGATAGCTTTGCTGGTTAGAGTAATCTTGGTTGTACAGTGGGGCCTTGACTTGCGAGTGTCCTAACGAGTTTTTCAAGATACGAGCTGTCTCTCGGCCTATATTTGCTTTGAGTTGCGAGCTAAAATTCGTGTTACGACCCAGCTTCAGATACCCCACCGCTAGCTGGCACAGTGAACATCAGTGAATGCCACAACATCAGCCCAGCATCAGGTGTCTCACTCGTTCACAATTGATTTGACATACGAGTAATTTGAGTTATGAGCTCCGTCATGGAATGAATTAAACTCGTAAGTCAAGACCCCACTGTAGGTTCATGCTATTCATCACTTTGAATATTTCTTGCCACTCCCTTCTGGCCTGCATAGTTTCTGTTTAGAAATCCACTGACAGTTATATGGGTACTCCCTTGTAGGTAACTGTTTTTCTCTTGCTGCTTTTAAGATTTTCTCTTTGTCTTTTGCTCTTGGCATTTTAATTATGATGTGTTTTGGTATGGTCCTCTTTGGATTCCTTTTGTTTGGGGTTCTCTTGCACTTCCTGAACTTGTAAGTCTATTTCTTTCACCAGGTAGAGGAAGTTTTCTGTCATTATTTCTTCAAATAGGTTTTCAATATCTTGCTCTCTCTCTTCTTCTGGCACCCCCATAATTCGGATGTTGGTGCGCTTGAAGTTGTCCCAGAGGCTCCTTACACTACCTTCATATTTTTGGATTCTTTTTGCTTTTTGTTTTTCCAGTTGGGTGTTTTTTGCTTCTTCGTATTTCAAATCTTTGACTTGATTCTTGTGATCCTCTAGTCTGCTGTTGGATCTCTGTATATTATTCTTTATTTCAGTCAGTGTATGCTTAATTTCTAATTGGTCCTTTTTCATATCCTTGAGGGTCTCACTAAATTTCTCAGAGGTTTATAGAAGATTGAGTAACCTTATAACTGTGGTTTTGAACTCTCTATCCAGTAGTTTGCTTTCCTCCGTTTCTGCCGTTTGTTACCTGCTTCTTTGTCTCCGCATTTTTTATGCTTCCCTGTGTTGATAGAGTGGCTTTCTGTGCTAGATGTCCTATAGGGCCCAGTGGCTCAGCCTCCCTAATTACCTGAGGTGGACACTCTTTGTGCACCCCTTTATGGGCTGTGTGCATGGTCTTGTTGTAGTTAAGCCTTGATTGTTGTTGGTATCACTGGGAGGAACTGACCACCAGGTCAATTGGCTGTGGGGACCAGCTGTGTCTACAATGGGAGAACTACTGTGTTGGAGACACCCTTATGGGGCAGGACTTGCTTCAGTGGGGCTTTGGTGCTCACTGAGTCTGCCCCTTGAGTGTGTCTCTTATGGATGTGAAGAGTTTTAATCTGGTATGGTTCTCACTCTGACCAGTGTAACCCCTGGGTACACTGACTCTTGGATCTGCAAGGAGGTGCCAAGTCAGCCATTGCCTGAGGCCACCCAGCAGGAGCTACAGAGAGATCTGCAGATTCCTCCTCTTTGTTTGGGGTTTGGAGGTGCCCAGATGAGGCCCAGCTGTGTAGCAATGCAGGCTGTTGTCAAGCCTTACGCCTTCTTTTGGATATTCTGGGTCTCTCTGACCCAGCTGCAGTTTTTTAGGTTTTAGGTGGTGAGAGCACAGGCCATTCATATGCAGAGGCTGCTGCACACAACTTGGGTGGGGTTGTAAATTGGGTGGGGCGGGGTCTCAGGGAATCACCAGGGTGGAGCAAACAGCAGTGGCTGCCAGTCAGCCCTGCATTGGAAAGGCCCCTGCATTTCCGCATTCTGCGCCCCCGTGCAGGAACAATGATCACTGCAGGCACCTCTGAGAGAAAGCTGCCCTCGTTCCTGCCTGATGCCAGATAGTCCAATTTCTCCCCATATGAGTCTGGGTCCCCATAGTCTCGCCCAGAACTGGAGTTCAGAGCAATCGGGAGCTTGTATCTCCCTCCAGATTGAAAAAGAGAACAGTGCACCCAGTTGCCAGCCTGTTTCGCGCTCTCTTCCGTACCTGTGCACTTCTGCACCTCTCCACCTCCTACCAGTTTCAATGCACTTTTCTCTTTCCTTCTTGTTGTAGAACTTCCACTCAGCCAGCCTTCCTGTGGTTCTGGATGATATCCATTTTGTCTTTTAGTTGTAGTTTTGATGTGGTTGTGCGCGGCAGGAAGTACAGGTGTGTACCTATGCCGCCATATTGGTTCCTCCTCACATAGATTTTTGATAACTTTTCCAAGCAATTTTAAATATTACATTTGCTTTCCAAATGATCAATATAAGACAAAGTGTGCATATATAACTTATCCATTTTTGCACTTTAGAAAACGGAAGCTGATAATTTAACTTCTTCATGCATATAGGGCTGATAACACAGATATTCAGATCCCTATGGTGAATTTTAGATGTTATTATTGGTTCTAGTAAAAAAATATTTTCAGCACAAAGAATGAACTATAACTACATAAAAAGCAGACAAATTCTACTAGGGAAGAGTTACTATAAAAGCAGTAACCATACAAAAGGCTATCCTTCTCCATCAGGGAAGTGTTGTAAATATAAAGGAAGATGACATGCAGCTCCTCTTTTATTAACTGAAATCAAATTTTCATTTCCTCTGACTCCTGCTCTTCCTTATAATTACTGCTTCCCCCTGATCTATAGTTTCCCTGACATTAGGATATGTGCACTCACTAATTAAACCCTGATATTTGATGATGTCTTAGCATGATGGCTCTCTAATCTATTATCTTTTCAGCAAAGATTGGGAAGATGCATTTTAAGGCTCTTGACTGAGGGGCAAAATAAAGAAGGATAAGTATCCACCATTTCAGAGATTTTCTAACATATCCTTATATATATTTAACAATCGATCATATTATATTTAGTATGAATTTATAACCAAATATACCAAGGAATCCACCCCCCCCCCCAAACAAAAAGTTTAGTTATAAATAGTGTGATTAAGGAAAATGGAAATATTATCTCAAAACCTTCTGTAAATTAGGTGCATTATAAATTGTGAACATAAATCCACCTACCTGTATGTTAATATTCCTTTTGTACAGAGGTGAATGTTTGACTTGCCCATTGAATTTGGAGAGTACAGTGGTAGATATATTTTCTGGATTCTAATTATATGAAAGGTGACTTGGACAATCAAGACAAACAGGTACAAATAAAATACCAGAATTTTGAGGAATTAATCATTTCACTGAGATTGATTTTTCTTCTGACCATGACCCGACTGACATGACCAGCTGTCAGAGAAAACAAAAAGAGGGGTGTGTTCATAAGGTTTGGCAAAAATTCATGTAGGTAATTGCTTAGACCAAAGGATTAATTGTCTTTTAAACAACCAGCTGCTATTCACTTGCCAGTCATTTTTTTTTTGACATATATTCTGCCTCTACAGTGATTTTTAATGTTTAAACCAAAATATATTTTTCTTTCTCATAGTACTGTCTCCTAAATTTAGAAGATTATGTTTCAAGACTATTCAGATCCAAAACATAATAAAACATCTTTCATACTCAACCTGAATTTTTCTTTCAAGTTACCTCCTCTACTTTCCTGATGCTCAATTTATTGTGTCCAGTCAACACATTCTCCCAGGAGAAATGTGTATGTATCTTTGTGAGTGTGTTTTGTAGAGAAAGCAAAGTCACTTTACAATTTAAAGTTATACACATAACTGAAAACATAGAAACTAGCATTATAAAATACTGACAATAAAATCAATTACTGTACACCAGGACAGAAAAAAAAAAATAGGGAACCTGGCCCTTTTCAGTTAACATTCACACCATATTTTCTTAACACACACAGCCCAATACTGTCTTACCCATAATATCTCTTAGCATACTTTTTATGTTTTTTTCAAAAAGGGAGTTGATTGATTATATGTCCTCATTTTAGAGTTGAAAAATAAAATTATGTTATTTCAGGTTTCTTCAAATTTAATAAAATCCAAAACTGAATATCTCTACAGAATAATAGAATATCAGCCAAGTAGTATGTTGGGCAAATATTAAGCAATTTTCTTTTCTTCCTTACATTTCCTGACAAATCTTATTGTCACAATTACTGTAAACTAGCAAACTAGTTGAGAGATATTAACTGTCTAGTCAAGATCATAGAGCTTTACATCGACAAAGCCAGGATTAGGCTTCAAAATTCTTTAAATGATGAAAATCAGAAATAAACCAAGAAACAAATAAAGCATCCTTGCAAAACAATCCAGTTTGTCCATGGTAGAAAAAGTAAATTCTGTTGAACTCACTAAACTTGAATTGGAATACTTAGTCTATATCTGGGTCAGCCAATAAAGTTCTGAATCTCAAATCCATTGGTTTAAACCAAGTGGCATTGGAAAATCTATTTAACTTCTCCTTTAAAATAATAAAACCAGAGGTCAGTGAAATTACACGTCATTGATCATATTGGAATTTAAAATTCAACAGACTTTGATTTCCAATATAATGTTCTTTACTGTTGTTGCTTTAACAGAATGATATACCATTGTTTTTCCTCTTGATAGTTGAACGGTTAAAAGATGGAAAAACTCACTTTTAATGGCTTTCCTCTTCTTTGGAGTTGGGATAAAGATTTTATTAAAATATGAAATTGAAAATATTGGTAGGGTCATATTAAAAATGGATGCTAAGGTTGAAACTAAGGTGGTAGCAGTCAGTAGGGCAAGAATGAAATTAATCAATTGGGAATAAGAATATATAATAAATAAGATTTACAGGAGTTAGCTTCAGATTAAATTTGGTGAATAAAGGATATTGAAGAATCAAAATTGTTTTCTATGAATCTAGTTTGTAGAAATGAAAGGTACTTCTAGATCCAAACAACCTGTATATCTGAGAAATTAATAAGTGGTCAAAGCCTAAATATACATGTCACATAATTGCATTAAAATACTGCCTTAATATTTTGGACAAGATATCAAAATTCTATGGAGATATTGCCTGTGATGTGCCCATTAACAAAAATTATAACATAGGAATTAAAATTAATTGCTTAGTGAATGCTTAATTCTTGAGTCACCTGCTCCACAAAGGACTCTTTGGTCACTCCAATCAATGGATTTATTTCTATTTAACGTTGTCCAGGCTATTTACACGACCTTGTCTTGATTGTAAGGGCTTAGAAGGCAATGCTCTTGGGATACTATCATTTTACTTACAAAGCATTTTGGTTAGGGTCATTTTTATTTTGCATTAATTAATGGAGTGGGGGGAAAGGAGATTTACAGTTGTGAGTACACAAACACAGAGTTTACTCTTATATTATCTTTATTAATTATTATATTATTTACCGTATGAGCAACTGTAAATCTACTTTTGCCCACCCCTGTATATTTGAGTAACCACTGATATGTCTATCCCCAAACAGTCAATAAAAGCTTTCTATTCAGTTTGCTATATTTAAGATAATTAACAGGTATAAAATATGATGGCACTCTCATGTTAAACATTGTTAAACAGCCTTTCATTTCTCTCCAGACAAAGGATAAACTCTTTAGCTGACATATAGACATCAGTCATATTAAACTATAATTACCAGAAAATGTTATTTTTCTCTCAAGCCTTTTGCACAAGCATCTTTCTATACTATATAAAAAATGTCCTTCTTTTAGTATGTGGTTAAGACAGTACCTTCCTGAATGACTATATTTTAAAATAGACACACACACACACACACACACACACACACACACACACACACACACATACACACACACCAATCTGAATTAACTCCTTTACTATGTGCTTACATATCTCCATTTGTTTCCTATTATATCTAACGACCATAATGCCTGTTTGTTGTCTGTTATTAAGAGACAGTATAAGGAAAATTACTATTTTTGTACTTATTACACGCTCCAATCTCTGTATGTAAAACTCTCAATAAATAAATAAGAATCAATTTAACGCAATTTCTCAAACCTAAAGGTTATGAGAAGTGCTGACTCTTTGATTTTCAGCCTTCCCACATATCTCCACAAACAGAGCAACTAGAGAACAGGCAAAAACTTCAATACAGCATATAAAATAAAATTCAGTGATAAGGATTCCATTAGAATCTCCAAAATTCGAATAAGTGGAGAAGAAACTGAAACACACATAAAACTTGAGGGTAGTAGCAACAGTGTGCAAGAAACAATAAAGAAAGTTCTAAAAGTCCTGAGAATTGCAAAACATCTAATTGCCAATGGAAAAACACAAATGGCCAAACTGGATACTGCAGAAAAAAGTAGGAGTATATGTGTGATCTCCAATCAAATTGTAACTACATTAGAAAGAGCATTTGAATGACTGGATAGTACTAAAACTATTGGGGATCTATAAACTTATAACCTTCTCCCTTAGACAAAGCTTCACACTGAGAACAAACTTTTGGGTGCTAAGTTAAATAGAATAGGGCTGGGAAAATAAGAACAAAGGAAAAAAAAGTGAGCTAAGAGAGAAAGTGAGTACAAGCTGATCTCAGAAATTATGAAGCAATTTAGGAGCCACTCTGACTCATCCTCTTCTTCCTGGAGTGCAGGAAAAAGCCATGTTTCTTAAACACAAACACAGCAAAAGAAAACAAAGATAATACCGAAACCTAAAGTTATTGTAGGGGAAAAAACACACACATCAGAACATTCCCCTCTGAAAATAAACTCTAAAAGGTATTCCCACAAAGCTGAAGAGAAGGATAAACAAATCTTTCTAAAGAAACCAAAGTGACTCAGTACAAGGAGAGATAGTATAAAAGAAGAGCATAAGAAATTTTTTTTTTAAGAAATTCAAAATTGAGGCAATTAAAGAAGACTTGAAAAGAGAGTTGACAGAATTCAGAGCTGTATCTTTAACCATTTTTAGGTTGCTATTATTATTTCCTTCTAGTTTTTGTTGTCCTGACATGACTATTTTCCCATTTCTATTTATGTTTGCTTTCAGTGTCATATTCCATTGTAGGATAAGGTATTCCAATTTTAAAATGACTCAAGGTAGATACTTCCAGAAATAATCATGCCTCTTATCTAGTCTCTTCTCTTGCTTAAATCTCCTTTCCTTTGTATAGTACAGCCCTAGTATACTTTCATATGGGTTACTCCTTACAACAAACTTTTTGAGGTTCAAGTCTGTGTTGCCAAAATTTATTTGGATTACTTTCTTTACATTGCCTTTGTTTGGCTGAAGTCCACTTACATAAAAGACACTTGTCCCCTGACTAGCATGGCTCAGTGGTTGAACCTCAAACTATGAATCAGGAGGTCATGGTTCAATTCCTGATCAGGGCACATGCCTGGGTTGCAAGTTCAACCTCCAGTAGGGGGAATGCAGGAGACAGCCAATCAATGATTCTCTTTCATATTTGATGTTTCTATCTCTCCCTCTCTCTCCCTTGTTCTCTGAAATCAATTAAAAAATAAAGTTACTTGTCACTGCCTCAGAAAAAAAAAATTTCCAGCCTACCTATATATTGAGGCAAACAGCCTTCCTCTATACTGAGTCCATTTCCTGTTTCAAAACCTGTGTGATCTTTTTTTTTTTTGGTCCTGACCATAGGCAACCACAAAGGCTTTATTTGTCACACTTCATGGGGAAAAGTTGCCCTCCCCACATCAAACACGAAGTCAGTTGCAGTATTTTAGTAATTTAAAAGTATTGACGCTGCACTTTACTTCTTCCCCATTTTAACCATGCTTCAGGCAGTTGGTGGAGACCTTTTATATTACACCTTCCCATACATTATATTGGTGTTATCTTTGGTTACTCTGGCTGTGTACATGTCGGCCTCTGAAATAGAGAACTGCTATGATCTTCTAGTCAGGAAGAAAAGACTCGTTCTCTTCAGCCACTGGCTACTTCATGCTTACGGGATCATCTCCATCTCCAGAGTGGATAAACTCGAGCAAGACTTACCCCTTTTGGCCTTGGTACCCACGCCAGCCCTTTTTTACTTGTTCACAGCAGAGTTTACTGAACCTTCACGGATATTCTCAAAAGGAGCCAATGGACACTGAATATAACATGCCAAAACCCCTAAGAAGTATTCTTAATAAAAAAGTAAAGAAATTAAAAAAAAAGGACTCAGACACCCCCTGACCCACCATGCTCTTCACATATTTGCATTCTATCCTGGTCACCTTCATTCCCAGGTCTCCTTACCTGAGGCATTTGACAGAGGTCTTGTTCAGGTATCACTACTGAGGACTCCTTGTTGGACGCATTGGCGAGAATGGGGGTAGGGCGGGGTG